GTGAATTAGGGTCACTCTTGTGTTAAGAGTTGACTGGAAACTGGATGTAGGGTTGGCTGTACCCGAACCAATATAAATTACTGTGTGCTTTTCTCTTCGTTATACCTTTGTGATAACATCAACTTATTTATTTTCCCTTATCTCTCTTATTATATCACTTCGCTATATCTCGTTCAATTTGATAATTAAAATTGAATAAATAAATATTAGACATCTTAAAATAAATTTTTAATTTGGCATTTAGTTAATTTGTGCATTTATTCACCTCCCTCTAGATGTCATTTGTTTAACAAATAAAACTTAATTAAAAAAAGAAGAAGATAGGAAGCTTATCCATTTAAGAGATAAACATGCATTTAATGAAAAGAAAGAAAATAAAAAGTAAATATAAATATAACTATAAATACATGTGAAGGAGGGAAGGAATAGAGAAATAAGAGAGAAAGAGGAAGATAGAAAGAAAGAGAGAAAAAGAGAGGGAAAGAGAAAGATAAAGAAAATATATAAGGAACTAGTTAAAATTCTCGTGTATCATATGCAAGTATTAAGGTAGGGGGAGAAGACATTATCATTCTATTTATTTTATTATGGTTTTTGAGTGAAGTGTCTCTAACTCATTCATTTATTATTTTATATTTTATTTATCTATATTCACGTAATTATGCCCTGAACCTATTATATTTATTTATTTACCTCAATTTATGGATTGGTCCTATTTCTTCTATCCCTAGTCGCACAAGTACTCTTATTTTATATTTATTTATCACTTGTTACATAATGATCTTATTTATTTATCTCAGTTATGCATTTATCTTATTTATTTATTTTTTAGTTACATACTAGTCGTTTTTTATATTTATTTTTCTCAAATTACACATTGATCCTCTCTCATATTTATATTTATTTTCAGTTTCATACTGGTCCTTGTTTATTAATTTATATTTATATGATTGGATTGTTGTGTTAAATTCTCTTAAAGAATAATTTTTTTTTACTTATGAATATTTGATGATATTGTAAATGAAAGTTGAACATTGGATATTGAAATGAGTAAATAGAATATGATGATGAAATTAAAGTTGAAAAATAGATTTTATATATCATTTTGAGATTATATTATTTTACATGATAATTGTTCTCACTTTCCTATTATTGTCTCTTGTACATGTTACAACTAAAAATGTAACTTAAATAGATAGAGACATCAAGATGGAAGACAAATATCATTGATAAATCAATTAACTTTAGAGAAAAAATATTTTATCAATTTTAATAATTGTTTATGATACGTGAAAGAATATAAACTTGTAAAATTCATATATTTATACATACAAATGTATAAACATTTATCTCATGTCTTATTTTTGTTAAAATTTAGTGAAAAAATAATAATTTCTTAACATATAATTAAATTAATAAAATGGAACCTTACAACTAATATTAAGCAAATAAAATATTTGTATAAATATTTTAGATTTTTATAATATATTACACGTACTAATTTATTATAATAATAAACAAAAATAATAAAGAAGATAATTTTATTTATTATTTAAAAAAAATTATTGTAAAATATCTTTTTTATTTTTAAATTTTCTTGAACGTGAATAAAAGAGAAATACTGAAAACAAAAAAAAATATAATTTTATATTATAAAGGTAAAATCATAATAAAGAAAATTTTGAAAAACGAAGAAATTTTTTTACAAATTTTATATTGTAAAATAAAATCTTAAAAGAATATGAAAATCAATAATTGATAAATAAAAAAATAGTTATAAGAAAGTGAAAAGAGGAAAAAAAAGAATGAAAAATAGAAAAAAGAAGAAAAAAAGAAGAAGATGAATGTAAAAGATTAAAAGAGAATAAAAAGTTAGTTGTTAATGGCTTAAATAAAAAGTTGAAGTGGAAAGTGAAAATGTGGAAGAGTAAAAGAATAAAAGTTAGAAAAAGAAAAAAGAAAAAAAAGGATGTATGTATAAAATAAATAATAAAAGTATTAGAAGTGAAAAATTGAGTGGAGAAAAGATAAAAAAAATAAAAATTTATTGATATTTAAAAAATAAAATCTATATATATATATATTGGCCGTGCCTGTGTTAGTTATGCATTCTTTAAATATGTTTGTTAAAACTTATCATCATTATCTTCTTTTAAGCAACACTTAATTATTTTAAACTAAACAAAAATAATATAATCGATTAGAAAAATTTACATAGTTTCACAGTAATCAAATATCTCAAATCATATTTGATCATCATAAATGAGACAATATTTTATTTTAAAAAATAACTAATAAATCATAAAAACTATTTCCACATTCCTACATAACTGTATGCCTTAAAAAAAAAATCTATTTGTTGTTTTTTAAACTTTAAAATTACATTAATTATTTTTAACTAATTATATATTTCCTTTTGAAAAGTTAAAAAATAATAACTCTGAAACTTTAAGTGAATAGTAAATTATTAATAGATAATTTCTTTTTTTTATCTTTTTATCCAATATATTATTAATCGATAAAATCTGTTTAATATTTTAAAAAATTATGATCAATTATCTCATGTCATATTTGATTATGATAAATGAGATAATAAAACATTTTAAAAATAATAAATTATCTTAAAAATTATTCTTTATTTTAAAATTCTATTAAATGTTTATTTTTCTCTTGTGAGCAAAATAGTAAAAATTTTCATAAGATTTTTTTTTCTATAAAATTATTCTCACTTAAATAAATAATTATTCATTTTTATGTTTATAATTTTAATATATATATATATATATACATATATATATATATATATATATATACTTTTTTAAATTATTATTTTAATAAAATATATTATCAAATAATTTTATATATTATTTATTTATTTATAATATGTTATTATTTTATTAATTTAATTAAAAAAGTAAAAGAATAATAATTTGATAATAAAAAATATAATTATATATAAAAGTATATATTATTAAAAAAATAGATATATAATTTAAAGATACTATTTTAAAAAACTATTTTATTAATAAAAAATCAATTAATCATATAAATAATTTTATAATTAAATTAATATTTAATTTTAATTTAATTATGTATTATTTTTAAAATAATTTTTTTCCTTTTCATTACAATTTTTCTCTTAAACAAAAAAAAATCATTTTATTCCATTTTTTTTTCATACTTTATTTCTTTGCTACCAAAGAGACCCTAAACAATGTTTTTGAAAAAGTTTATGATTCCAATAACTATTTTTACCAAATATATCCATATTATTTAAAAGTTAAAAAATAATTAAAACATTCTTTATAAGCCTTTAAATGAATCATAACTTACGTAAAGGTATCTTGTATTAACTAATAATATAATAAATAATTTATTATTTTTCAACTCTTAATCTGATATTTCATCAATCAATTTTTTTTTAATTCTAAAAAAAATTGATGGATTTCATTTTATTGTCCATAGTAAAAAAATTATATATTTACAAATTTAACTTTTTATTCTTTTATATTCTTTCATGTTTTTATATTTATTAATAATATATTATTTGAGAATATTAATTATCATGATCCATCTTCTCATGACTTTCACAAAACTCAATTCTTGTGTCTGGATTGACTCAACCACCTTACTCTTTATATCACTCTCTCAAATTGTCTTCTTCTCCAACTCCATCATGCTGAGTTGCCCCTATCTCTCCATCAAATTTTTCTTCGTTCTCATTTCTATTGTCACCCTTATCCAATTCTAAATCTAGTATGGTATTTTTTTTTTCCTTCCTAATCTCATAGTTTGTCTTCTTCAAAAGTAACATCTTGTTGTCTCACAACATCTCCCTTAGCAATTGGATATAACAACTTGTAGCCTTCAACTTGGAACAATACACAATTAATGTTTCTGTTATTAAGTTTAGTTCTTCTTGTTTATTGAACATGAGCATGTTTTATGCAACCGAAGACATGAAAATTATCAAGTGAGGGTTTTACTCCACTCCAAGCCTCCTCCAGTGTTACATCCTTGATTCCTATTGTACAGTACAGCAATTGTTTAGGACATAAACATTATAATAGTTCATTACCTCCGGCCAAAAGTTCTTGAGAATGATTTTATAAAATAACTGGATCAAAACCATATTCATCATGGTTCAATTTTTCTTTTAACGATGTTGTTTTGTTGTGTAGTATAGAGTCTTTTGATGAGTATCTTGGCTAATTAAATCATGGTAAAGGAATTACTGTCTTGAAAAATTGATGAATGAAAACTACAACATTCTTTTATAGTTTATGAAGAATATCACAATAATTAACTAAATAATGGTTGATTATTTTTGGGGTTCAATAGGGAGGAGTTAAACTCTGGTATCAGGAGTGTTACAATGCTTATTTTGAAAAGCTGAATTTTAACCGTTTGTTTACACTGCTAAAAATAGATTACTGATGATGAAAAATACAATCTACCTAACAGAAAGTTTGAGAGAATATAGCAGTGCCTGTTATACAAGGGGAAACTCATGGAGAACAATTGTGTTCATCTTCTTGGTAATAAAAGGTTCTTTTTCATTCTTTGTTTTAGCTTCCTAACAGTAAGAGACTTTGGAGCCATCAGTGGAAACTGAGGTATGTACTATCAGCATCACAAAGAAAGAAAAGTTATGTATATAAAGCTCATTTACAATAATATGAACCAAACTATAGCAATTTATTTCAAAATGGGGGAAAAGAACTTTGAATTTTAAGCATCTATCTAGTATAAGAATATTACTGTTTGTAACACAGTTTATTGGGCCGGGACTTACCTTATACAATTATACTTTTATAACCCTATAATATTCTTATTCTAGAATAAATAATAGACCCTAATCTAAGTGATAAGTGCCTCTCATGCACTTCCCATCTTTTGCTTCTTTTTTTACAATATACATGCCTTTGTAGGGCAATTGCCACTACCTTCCTACAAGGTAAATCTGGTTCAGAAACCTTATGAGTAGATGACATGTTGCATTAGCCAAATATCAACATATATTCCAGGGCATCAACAGCTGCTGCATTGACAGATGCCAGTGCATTTGGTGGGGGCTCCATGAAGAAAAGGAATGAGCTTAAAACAAAGATGAATATGGTGAATATGAATAGTGACTTGCAAGAATCACCATGTTTTCTAACAAGTTTGAGTCCTTCTTCTTGACTAGTTCCCGATGATGTATCGTTAAACTGAAGAATTGGACTGGTTAGAAAGCCATATGCCATGCCTGAGAAGGCTGCTCCAAAGTGTGACCTACAAATCAGCCAAAAACCAAATAAAGGTTTCCATGCTACAACTTAAAGAACATTTACATGCATGCCACTTTCTTTTGAAGTGCCATTCCTTTCATATTTTTATTGAGTTTCATGACTAAACTACTTTCTCTGAATAATAATAATGTATAACATACCATTCGTCAATTGGACCAAAGTGGCTTAATATGAACATAAGAGCTGTGATAATAACTGCCTTCTGGAACAGGCTCTCTGAAGTATCACTTGCAATAACATCTTTGTTTTGAATTTGATAGATGAACCAAGCACCAATTATTGCAAATACAGGTCCCTGAGTAAAGTTCAAGTTAACAAGAGTGTTAAAGACAAACAAAAGAGATCAAACAGAAAAAAAAAATAAAAATAAAATCTAAATTCACTTATATAAGATTGTTCAAAAGGTTTGGCATAGTATATGTACTGAATTTAAAAAAGAAAAATTACTCTAACTTGATTTTCATCAAGCCTTAGAACATATGCAATACAAAGCCATAGATGGATTCGGGATTAATCAAAAACATTAATTGTAAGTAAACAACAAAGTCTGTCTTGGTTTTAGAATTCATACCAACAAATAATTCTCTAGAATTCATATTAATTGAAAATAAAATATTATAGCATAGTCATAAGAAAAGATGTTGAACCAAAAGGGCCATGGTTTAGAATTGGAGCATGGTACTTACAGTTCCACCAACAGTGGGATCTGGCGTATGTAGAAAACTTGTGAAGTTGCAAGCAATTCCACCCAATATGTAGATCAAGAAAAACGTAAATGAACCATATTCTTTGCAAACTTGAGGCCCAAATGTTACAAGGGCCCAACAACTGAGAGCCATGTGAAACATTCCTGCATGCTGCACATATAAATTTACTAAAATGCATGCATATGAAGCATAGTTACAGGGAGATTAATGTAGCTTCTGGTATTAAATAAGTAGTCTCTTACACAATAGACAGAGGAGACTTTTTCACTTAGGTTTGCTAAGTGTTTCTAAAAATCAAAATTACTTGTTTGATGCATGACGTCCACTGATACTAATCATGATTTTCAGGATTGCTTTAATCAATGAGTAACATTGATTCCATGCAGGAAGTATATTCTAGACTGGAATGGCTGTATTTTACTGCTGTTAGTTAGGAAGTTAAATTATCAAAATAAAGCCAAATCCAAAAGTAAATGCAGAGTAAAACAAAACAGACTATATACACTTTCACATATCCTTAGTCTCAATAAGTTTGAAAAATGTTTTAGTCTTTTTTTTTTATTATTATTTAATTTAGGTCCATATAAATTTAGTTGCATGACATGCAGCTAGATACATGTCCTCTCCGTGTGACTTGTCTAGATACATGTGGCCAAAAATCACCAATGATTAAAGACATTTAATTAAAAAATTTAACATCAGAAAATAAAATCATGTGATTTTCCAAAATGATGATGAGGGTCATGTAAACAATATGTCTGCAGAATGGGAACACAGACCCAATTCTCAATCTTGTACCAGAAACATTGGTGTTATAAGCCTCCACCATTCTCCAACCATGATCAAATGGTTTATCTTTGCTCCATACAGTAGTGGAATGGAAAATAGCTCTAAATCAGAAGTCCTTATAGGACTTGCTATTTCAAATAGAAACACTGCAATGTTTACAGAAACCAATATGCCACTGCACCCAAAAGAAGGATCAAAGAAAGTTATTTATAATATGCCAAAAAATTAATGTGAGGAAAGTTAGTGTTAATGCGAGGAAAGAATAAAACAAGAACTATGATAGAGCAAGACTTTTTTTACATCAGGTAGAGACTGGAGGTTTCAACATGCTGCTGTGAATCTGTAGCAGAACTTGGACCATGTACATTTTTTAGTCTTCTTATTCCCACAAAAGCTTTTTGTTTCCTAAAGTGTGATCTTTCAATGTCTTTGCTGACAGATTGTTTTGGTGCTAATTTTTCTTCACTAGTATTCTCCACATAAGATGGCGTGTGAGATTCTTGGTTTGCTCCTGCATATAAAAATACTAACTCATTCACCTTTGAAACAAAGTTGTTCTTTTTCTCAGTTCGAACAAGGTTTAAGTGTTCGAGATTTGAGAACACCAAGTCAACTAGAAGAAGAGAAGGATACTCAAGGATCAGAGTAAATAGTCTATGCATTGACAATGTAAGGGATTTTTATACTATCATCTAATCGCAATCTCTACGCATGGACAGTTCGCTGACTTTTATAATCACTATCTTAAAAATCACACCAATCGTGATTTCTGATTAGTTACTAGTATAAACTATTTTACACCAACTATGCATAAAATTTACACTCTAAATGAAAAAGGCACCACAATACTATTAGTGTTTACACCTTACCATGATTTAATTTGCCAAAATACTCGTCAAGAGACTCTATTCCAGTTTTTGATCTAGCTTGACAATCTATCTCATGCACCTGTATCACCTTGTGTGATGAATCAAATGTACGCAATTTTGCATTATCTTGGAGTTTTCCAAAATAAGAATCTAATGACCTTAGTTGCTTCTCAGTTGAACTAGAACCTGCAGAACACCAAACTCTGGAAATGTAATCTGTCTTTGAATAACATCCATGAATGGGGCTTAGGCGATTGTCCGAACCACTAAGTCTTGTCACATTCTTAAGCAGAAAGCCTTTGTCATGAAGTGTGCACTTAGGTATATTCCTCTCTTTTGTGTTTGATTTTGTGAGGACATTGTTGACTTTGTTCCATGGTTGGCAACTCCTGCAAACTTGACCAGGAATTGAAAAGATGAACCTCTTCATATTATCACACTGATACATGAACCTCTTCTCATTCTGCCTCATTGCATTTTGGGTTGTCAAATTTTTGTCCTTGTAGGGCGTTTTGTAAAACATAGGAAATGCTGCCATGAAAACCTGAAGGTACAAAAGAAAGAAAAGGATAATATCAACATCTGAAGGAAGAAGTGAAAACAAAAAAAACACTAAGATTTTTACAGTAATCTAATCGCTCTGTATATGATATGTTTTGTTTACTTTTGCAATATTATTAAAAGTCATATCAATGTATAAATTTTTTACTGGTTGAAAGAGTAAATTTGTATGCACAATCAATGCATAAACAATATTAAGCTCTATTTGAATTTATTTGTTAAAAAAAAAATCTTCCCTTTAGTATTTGGTATCCCTGACTTCAGCTTAAGCAAGCAACACTGAAACTGACAACTAATGACATGAAATCCATGTTATTGTTGCGAAGCAAATACAGAAGAAAGAGAGAAAAAAATCAGTTATTTTATTTCAGACTTCTTGGGTCCTTTCCTTGTTCATACAAAAAGGTTTTCTCAGAGCAAAAACAGAGCATGAGGAGAATAATACACCTTTATCAGACCATCAGAACTTGTTACATATCCCAAAATATCTACAGTGATATCATATCATACATAGAAAATTCTAAATACACTTCTTCATTCAATCCTTTCTGCACTTGTATTTCAAACTATGCACAAAAATTACCTTATGCAACCAAAGATAGCGGTAGTTTCTTTTTCTAGCAAACAGAAACACAGAAATCTCTTCAAGGCCTTGTTTTAATCTTTAAAAACTAACTAACGAATTGAAACGGTGAAGAAACAAACAAACGTTTGACAACATGAACGAGTACATATTAAAATTACAAAAGAGAAACCACAATGGTTATAAAACCAAGAAACTGAAATATACAAATGAAGGGTTGGACTTGGACCTACCTGTGAAGGTGCTCCAATGCACAAAATTTGTTTAATTCTCACTCATATGTTAGCTTCTAGAGAATTGCTGCAAAAGATGAGAAAGGTTTTACTTGGTACCATTTCCATCAATGACATATGGCAATGCCTTCATGGTGGTTGTGAATTGCACTGACAATGATCTACAAGGACATCTAAATTCTGTTTCACCGGACCTTATCTTTGTTCAGCCATTCATGGTTTGCAGCAAAAGATATGCAATTTTTGTGAGCCAATAAATGCAACTACTAGGATTCGGGTGGACCCACGCGCCCCTTTGGTTGATCTTACACGTTGCATGCTTAAGCACCTCAAACTTCTCACGGATTTTCCTTCCAATTCAATCCTGGAATTGTGATGCAGAGGAAAGAAAGCAACGTATCTAAAAAAATTTCAAACACTGGTCCAGTTTCTGGTCACACTAATTGGAAGATGAGTCAAAATTGAAAACAAAGATTGTAAATAGACAATGGGTGAGTTTGTTTGTGTTTATTTAATTTTTTTAATAAAATAAGTTAATTTCAGTTTTGGTTTGTGTTTATTTAATTAATTTATTTAAAAGATAAACATTTTTGTGGTTTTTTTCCAAATAAATAAACTATAGTTAATTCTTAAATAAGTCATTATTTTAAAAATTACGTTTTAGAACTGCTTCCTTTTTTTATCTGCGTCGATATATTTATTTTTTTAGTTTTGGGTCTTGATAAATTTATTTATTTTTAAAATAATTATTGTAAATTTTATTTATGTATATTATTTTGTTTCAATCCTGTAATGTGGTTAATCGCTGTTTGTATTCGTTTAATATATAAATATATTGCATTTAGTGTTTGCTATTTTGTTTCCAAATGAACTAATTTTAAATGAATGATATATTATAAAAATGCAAGCACAAGAATAAATATATTACTAAAACTAAAATGAACAAGAAAAAAGAAATTACATATATAATTTAAAAAAATAAAACTTTCATGAATCATAACTAAAAAATAGTTCATTAAAAGGAGAGAAAAAATTAGATTCATTCTACAAATAAGAAAATTAACTAACTGCTTTAAATTCTACTAATCAGTATCCTAACATTCGTTCTAAAATGAGTTTGTAATAATAAAATATAAATAATAATGGTGCAACCAAAAGTCAAACATTAATTAGAGTATGAGTATTTTAGGGAAAAAATATTTAATTATGTAAAAATAGTTAAATTTTATTTATATTTGAAAAAAAATAAAGTATTTTAGTTACTTATGAGAAAAATGTAATGGTATTTTATATACTACTACATTAATGGTATTTCATATGAATTATTTATAGTTAAAAAAATTACTCAATATATATGATTATAGAACAACTAGTTCAAAATCATTCCCTAAAATCAATATTAGTTCAGAAAAAATCTTAAAAAACAAATTAAAATAACTTCCAACTGCTAAAAACAGATGGATTTTGCATCATAGTCCTTCTATTAATAATTTTGTGGATCATCGTCCATTTATTTTATTTTTTTACTTTTTTCAATAAAAAAATTAAAAATTAAAGAATGATTGTTTCTAAAGTGAACATGTGATTAAGTACGTTTAAAATCAGTGACAATCTTTTATTTATTTTTTCATTATTTTTATTAGAGGACAAAATGAAAGCATATAATTTTAAAAATCTAAAATTAAAACAAATAATATATTAAGCGATAATATACAATAGTTAAAAAAATCTCTTTATATATTGTTATAAATTATAACATAAAATATTTTTAAAAAATGATAAAATAAACTTTTCATACATTAAATATATGGCTTTTATTTATGATCTATAAAAACAAATAAATTTTATTTGATTGTTGAAAGTTTTTTCTAAAAATATCTATATTAACTTTTATAGAAAAAATAATATTCAATATGTAATTTTTTATATATTGATTTTTTGTTAAATTACTTAATAATGATATAGTAGTTTTTAAACAATATTTTAATTTTAAATTAAAAAAGCTAATTTTCCTTGTATCCATGGGAATGTCTTGAGTAAACTAAGTGCAAACAAGGCACCCTACATTATCTAAGAAAGTGCCTGATAAAAATTGGTTCAACATTATTCAATGTTAACGTATATTAAATTTACAATTAAAAAACCAGTATCTACATAAATCATTTCTGATTTAATCTTTACTACCACTATAATCCCTTAACACAATTTTTGATTACGAATTACACGTATAAAAATCAAGTTCAGAATTCGTTACAAATATAGATACAACTTTGATAAATTTCATGTAACAAAACCAAATCAAAAAATCATTATATAAGTATTTTACATAAAGAAACAAAATTAAGAATTCATTACGCTTACATAAACCAAGTTATATGTTAAGCTTTTAAAAGACTATATTGTATCATTATGTTAATCAACAGAATCGTTTTTGTAATCAGAGGAAAACAATGTGAGGCAAAAAATTTGATGACAAGACACCGGAAATTTCCAAGTTTTCCAAGTATGGCTTGTTAAAACCATCAAGGGAAAAAATTTGCGTAGACAATTACTTAAAAGCTCAAATACCCAAATAGTTCAAAGCCTACATTAAACTTTCTTTAGACAAATGTCTGAAAAAACTGGAACAAATATTAAACAATCGAAGTTTCAAGGACAAAAAAAGGAGTTGATACAACTCTACTGCTCAGTCGGCATTGTCTTGATGATATCCGAATCACCTGAAAACAACAACAAAATTATAAAACATTTTGTGCATACAGTAAGTTCCAGATATGAAAAAAATTCAGCAGTGACGAGGTAGTACCAGGATCAACAATGCTGAGGCAGCAAACTCTGTAATATTTGCCACATGCGGTGCCCAAATCCACATTGTCTGCAGAAAAAAAGGCCAATTTGTTAAGGATGGGTAATCGACAAAAAATATTGTTTTGCTTAGGTTCACAGACACTCTACCAAACATCAAAACAAGTAAAATAATAAACAATTTAATTGTAGCAGATACCACTAATCAACTGCAATATAATTAGAAACTTTATATGCCATTAGAAGGTGTTCTACATGTCTACTGAAACTTTGGTGATACTGGGAAGCAATCATAATAATATACAAAATTTTGCAGTCTTTCAACAGATACAATTTGCATGTGGTTGCATAAGACAATTAATAGTATAGCAAAAATCATAAGAATTCATCCACTGATGAAAAATAATTTAAGCATGATCTATTCAAACTACCTCCATTAAAATATATCATATGAAAGCAATACTATACCTGCTTTGAACTTAGCAAACCAATTTAAGATTAAGAATAACATTGTCAAGTACAAGTTAATAAACCTAGCCTACAAATGAGGGCTTCATGTACAATGAATGTAATCTAAAATATAATCTAATAAATATGTAGAACATTTGTGACCTAAACCACAATGAATGTAGAATCCTCGTTATCAAGCATATCCTTAAGAACTAAAAGAAAGCCTCCTCAAATGTATACATTATTGTGCAAAACCAAATAATATAATTTAAAAGAAAAGTGCTAACAATTGTCCATTAACATATAATTATAGCTTGAAGCACTACAGTCCCATAGGAAAGTATTTCTTACTAATATGGCACATAAATTGTTCAGATTGGAACTTACTTCCGTTGTAATGGTGAACTCCAACCTTCGCCAACATAGCATAGTACTCAATTTCAGACTTCCTCAATGGTGGACAATTGTTGGAAATGATAATCAATTTCCCTGCAAAAAATTTATATGAAATGTTGAAACAAAACCTTTTGTACAATTACCAAATTACCCAGTGCACTACCTGCAATAGATAATAAAACATGTGATAATATCTCTAGCAAACAGAGATGCAAAATCCTTAACATGTCCTTAACATGATTCCCCAGTCCCAACACCCAAAATTCGATATTGATTGTGCACAGGACCAGATTTCCCGAACCTAAATAATCAATTCAATCACCCTAAAACCCAGCAACGCCAAACAAAAAAAAAGTACCGTTTTTCTTTAATATTCCAAAAAATAAAAACAAATTTTCAGCACAACCCATTAAGTCAATCCAGCTGAGCAAAGAAAAACAACAACCAAAACAGATCAAATGCGAATTCAAAAGAAAAACTAGAATAACACCTTTGGAGCTCCTTAGAGATTTGAGAACCGTCTTATAACCCAGAGTATATTTCCCACTCTTCATCACAAGAGCGAGTCTGTTGTTGATGCTCTCATGGGTCTTCTTCTGCAGAATTAAGAAACAAACCATTAACAAAATATAAAAATAATAAACATGAATAATAAGTGAAAGGAAAGACATGGTGTGAGATATTACTGTTTTCTTGGCAGCAACCATAGTGGCGTTAGGTTCTCTGGGTGAAAAGTGTCCTAATTTGCCCCAAAGGAAGAAACCCTAATATTTCTGGAGGCAGAGACTTTAATATATGGTGTCTGCAAGGGTTTAGGACTTGAACGCTGTCGTTTGGAACGAGAGCGCTTTTCTAATCTCGCATGGGCCGTCACTATTACGGAATTGTTTATTGGGCTTAGTTTTGAAACTGTATACCCAATTGGAGTTGAAAGAGGGCAGTTTCTTCCTGCACCTCCATAGTTTGTTCTTGTACCCAAAATTAAAATAAATTTTATTTTATTCTTATACCATCTTCATCTAGTAATTATTTATTTCTAGTTTTTAAACCTTTGAATGTCTTCTTTATAAATTCTAAAGCATTTTCATTATTCATTCTCTTATCATTCCAACAAATATATAAAAAATTCAAACTATTTTTAATTTATATCAATTTTGTACCACGTACACTATCTCGTGAACAATTTTTTTTTTGGCTGGAAACACAGTATGGATTTGGATTAGGAATATATTTTCATAATAAATTTTCTAGAAATACGTTTTGGAAAGGTGAATCCGGAATATAGTTATGAAATTAACTTTTTTTAAACACATTCTGGATTGGTGAGTCCAAAATATACTCTCAATTAAACATGATAGAAGGATTCCATGCCATCAATAGATGTGATTCTGGAAAATTAATTTTAAAAATGTATTATGGATCCACCTTTTTAAAATATGTTTTTGAAAATTTTGTTATGAAATTCTTATTCTAAATTCACCTTTCCATTTTATGTAATACTTGATCTAAAATGTATTTCGAAAAGTTAATCTGAAATTGCATTATGAATTGAGTGTTCCGTAACTTTTCAATTTTTGAAAAAATATTTCAAATGAAACTATATGGTTCTTATATACAATTTCAGTGCAAGATACGTAATATTAATAATTATTTAAGAGTTGAAAACGATATATAATATCACAATAAATCAAATTTATAAATATATAGAAAGGTAAAGGATAAACATTGGAGTAAAAGAAGCTCTTCGAGTTTAAAATAAAAATTATTAAGATATATTGGTTATTTTATGAGTTGTAGGAGAAAAATTAGAGGGGAGGAAGAAAATGTATTGAGAGAGAGGATAAATATTTATTAGGTAATTATAAATTTTAGTTCTCTAATTTGTTATAATATTATTTTGGAAAAAAATATTTATTAATTATCATAATAATAATAATAATAATAATAATAATAATAAATTACATTGAATTGGTTCATTATTCACATCTATTCCCACCGATTATATAATTCTAATTTAAATTTGATTAATATAATCGTCTAATTTTCATATCTGTAACAACTGTTATTAATATTATAATAGTATATAATAAATGATTTTTAATATTTAAATATTTTTTAAAGATATATAGATATTAAAAATATAATAATTAATATTTGATGAGTTTTAATGATTGTCTATTGACAATAATCTTATAAATAGGGATTAGAAAACTTTTGTACATAAATTAAATATACAAATTTGTTATTTGAATATCTATAATTCTTGCTGTTAATTTTTAAGTTTTGGAGTGTAACTTTTTCAAGTGATCAGGAAATTATATAACCTAGATTGTGATAGTATAAGTTCTTCATAGTCAAAATTGTGATTTTTTTTACGATAAATCTCTTACTTGTTTTTATTGTGTAGGAATAATTAATAGTGTTACTTTCTATGTACATATAAACAACATGAAATTAAAATTAAGATATTAATAATGTAGATAGCAATTTTAAAAAGGAATTGTAGATTAGAATGAAACATAAAAAATAATATAAATTGCAATTTTGAACCATGTTTAAACCACATTGATAATTTGGTTTGGCTAATATGTTGAATCAGTGTTAATTTCAACATTTATTAATAATATCATATATGACTTAAAATTTCTCAACACTTGTGTTTTGATTGAATCATCAATTTGAGGGAGTAAGAAAAAGAAAAGAGAGAAATAAATTAAAAAGTGAAAAAAATTATAGTTAATAAAATTATTTTAATTAGTTGAAAAATTAAATAATAGAATAAATTTATAAATGATAAAAATATTTTTAATATAAATTTATCAATAATAAATATATTTTTAAATTAATATATGGTTTAATATAAAATAAACAACTAATAAGATAGATAAAAAATAACAAATAATTTACATATAACTTAAAAATAATTTTATAATAATTTATAGATATATTTATACTTTATAATTTATTTTCATAACAAGTAATATATTCAATTGATTTTGTGATCAATAATATTAAAATTTATTAAGTACTTTTTTATAAGTTTATTTCTTATTTAATATTTTATATTGTTCAAGTATAACAATATAAGCTATAAACCATAATAATAAAATTTAAAATAATTAAAATACTAAATTATAATTATTTTAAATTAATAAACTAACTCCTAAATTTTTGTATAACAAAAATAACTTGTTCTCTTGCAAGGATAAATTATAAGACCTTTTTGCTTTGTTTGTATGTTACTGTTTATAAATTAAAAATTCTCATTGGATTATCTTTTAATAAGAATTTATACAAGTTATTTTTTATTTTAAACAATTATAGAATATAAATTCATTATATCAAGTCATATTTTAGTAGCTCAAACTTGATTTTATTTAAACCATTTTTTAATAAGAAATGCATTGTTTATTTATTTTTAAGTTTTTGATAAAACAACTTAAAACACTTTCGATAAATATTGTTTATTAAGATATTTAAATAAAATACTAATTATTTAAAATAATATTCTATTAGAAAGATCAAGTTTGTTTAAATTTTTTAATATTTATTTCATCAAATAATTTATAAAAATAAATAAAATAAAGTAAATAATAGAAAATAATCACCTATAATTTTTAATAGAAAATTATTTAAAATAACCATTAACTTATTGAGCAATGTTAATCATGTATAAATTTGTTTGTTGGATATGGTTCAATAATTATTTTTGTAATTTCTCTCCTTATTTCTACATTTATATTAAAAGTTGAGTTCTTTGTTGCGAGTGGTAATTTTGTATTATTTATAGCCATTTTTTATATTACAACAATTCAACCCTTGGAATCAATATACAAGAGGGGTGAAATATAAACTATCTTATGTGTAATGACTTTTATTCAATAAATATATTTCCTATTCATTTATAATTATAAATTGTTCAATTCTTTATCAATGTTCTCACTATTGTATAACATATCAATTCTTAAATTCTTACAAGAATTTAAATTCATATTAGTAAATTACATTACACTTATATATTTTTTATTTCTTAAACATACAACTTTTTTTGTCCATACGTTATACAGAAAAGTTCATACTTGAACTTTTTTTCAGCGGTTGATCATTTGTGCAATATCATTATCTAATTTGATTTCAACCGTGTCAAGTATAAGTATGTTATTAACTACCCTAACGGGACGAAGGTAGTCAATTTTTGATACTATGGAACGGTTCCCACAACGTATTCTCTGGGTTATTTTTTGTACAAGCTCATCAAAGGTGAAATTGTGGGAGATTGACATGGTCAGAGTAGCGTCTGATCTGAAACATAACTCGTAATCATATGGACTATCTTTGATGGCTGCCCGTTTGGAAAGTCCTCCATAGTATAATTTTGCTGGTGAATGCAGGAAATGCTTGGGTTTATGGAAGAGGGATTTGGTTGTAGAAGACCAAGTTTTTCCTCAGCCGACCCTGTGAAGGTAAAAAATAATTCTATTATTGTATTAATGGGTGAATTAGACTTACAATTAATCATTTTTGCAACGTCAGCATCTGTTGATATTTGACGAACATCATACACAATGACTCCTTCTTCATTGTATGTGGGTCTTCAGAATTAGAGCTTGTTAATGTTGTGGTGGGTGGAAGTTCTAGAGTTGATGACACTTTCTGGTTCAAAATGTTGAATGTGCAGTTGTAAGGAATGCGAAAGAGTTTTGGACTTTCACATTGGAACTGCACACCATCGTCAGATTGAATGATTTCTCCGTTTGAAAACAAGGCTACAAGGTAGGAATTTGAATAGTTTTCTTGGTCGTTGATGCCAAAGTTCTCCATCTGAGAGAAATGAATGTGTTTATCTGTGTTGGATGGTGGTTGTATTTGGTGGGTTTATTATGCAATAGAAGAGTAGGATAGGTTGAATATGGAGTATTGGTATTTATAAGGAAAGTAAATTTGAGTGTTGGTATGGATTGAAATTAGAAGGACTCCATCCATCAACTTTAAGTGCAGTACAAATTCATATCTCCCTAGGCACGCTTACCAAGTAGATGTGATAAGTCTTGTGTTAGTGGCAGGGTACATGTGAGGGCATTGATTAAGAGGGTGAATGAGTCAATGCATGCTATTAGTCATAAGCTTTTGTAGTAGGAATAATTCATATCTCCCTCATAGGAACACGTATCAAATAAAGTTGATATGTCTTGTCTTAGTGGCATGGTGCATGTGAAGGCATTGATTGAGAGAGTAAATGAGTCAATGCATAGTAATAGTCATAAGCTTTTACAATAGGAATAGTTCACATCTCCCTTGGCACGACTACCCAATAAAGTTGATAGGTATTGTCTTAGTGACTTGGTGCATGTGAGAGCATTGATTGAGAGAGTGAATGAGTCAATGCATAGTAATAGTTTATTGAATGTGTAAGTTATTAAAATAATAATTTAATTGAATGTGTAAGTTATTAAGATAACAATTTATTGTATTTGTAAGTTATTAAGATACGAATTTTTTGAATTTGTAGGTTTTTTATTCATCATTTGCAAAGTTTATATTACAAACCCAACATAAGGTAGCTAAATAACAATAATTCAAATACTAAAACTAAATATTTGTTATTTAATCCCCATAATGGTGTACAATTCCACATCGGGGTCGCCTTTTGTTCCTAGTTGGGTTCCTCCTTCCCTAGGACGGTCTAGGCGCTTCTTCCTCTGAAGGTTGGGCTTCATGATGCTCTGCATCTTCATGACCTTGATATTCATCGGAGAATGACACTGTTTCATTATGATATTGGACATTATAAGGGGATTGTTGATTAGGTCCTTCAAAACCCTGTGCCGAAGGTGGAGATGGGGCATACGCTCCAAAAATGCTTGACATTCCTAAATCAGAGAAGGAAGAAATTGAATGCCTTCTTGCATCCATAGTTCCTTCTGCTTCTGGAGTGTTGTAATTGTGCTCAATGTCATCATGTTGAGGAGGTTGTGCATGTGTTGATGCCGATGCCCGATGCATCCTCGGGTCATGTAACATTTGCCACAAACCATGACATATACTCACTACTGTGGAAAAGTGGTCCTAAAAGTGGTAATCCAGTCAATGTCAGATCACGCCTGTTCTTCCATACGTCTATCCGTTCCGCATGTCTAGTAGCCCAATTCTCATCTTGTCTCCCCCTCATGTCTACTTTATGTAGATCATCAAGGTTGTTAGGTGAGTCAAGAACATCTTGTACCAGATGAAATTGTAACTTCATTCTGTTTGATTGGTGCCATTCAACATTTCAAAAACAAAGTAAATTTGTGCAAGAGGTCCACAATGCTTGGTCCTTGTATGCTTCGACAGGAATGATTGACTCTAATCCTTTATACAGAACCCATATAAACTATGTCACCAATACTAAAGTGAGAAACTTAGTAAATTATGAACATTAAAAAGTGAAGTTAAAAATATAAATGAACCTGGTTAGGTTCAATGTGGTCTATCCTTGATCGGTAACCAAGTAAATCATTGTGGGGGACATTTTGATAGTTTAGTACACGACCCTCGCTCCATCGGCATACAAGGGGAAACATCAATTGAGTCCATGAAATTGGTGCAATAAAGGGCATACAAAACCATGCCCAGGACTGTAATAACGATGCACATCCACCCATGGTCTTCGCACACCGATCTGTTGCTCTACATATCTCTTGTACAATACAGCTAACACAAGTAGAATCCCGACTATATCGTCGAGTTTTGCGAAGATTACTTAAAAATTTCAAGTACATTAAGTGTACCTTATTTCTAGTTTTATCAGGCATTAAAATCCCTCCAATCAATCCTAATATATATGCCCTTGCATGGGCATGTATTTCCTCTATACTTGATTCCTCTTGTAGTGAGACCATATTTTTCTTAAGACACTTTAACTTCACCATAGACCCTATCAAGGACTCCCCCTTTGTAGGGATAATACCTAATGACGTATGACACATGTCCTCTCAATCAAACATCATTGGTCCAATCACAGGTGGACCATCAATTCTAAGCCCCAATTAAAGTGAAACATCTTACAATGTTATTGTGCATTCTCCTATTGGCAGATGAAAAGTATGTGTCTTAGGCCTCCACCTCTCCACCAAATCTATAATTAAAGCATGATCTACCTTTAAATGTCTTAATTTAGCAACACCGTCGAACCCAACTTCTTATATTACGGGAAGAAGAAGAGGATGTGGTTCCGGTATGGAATGACAGTACGACGACACAAAACTTTGTTTTGCATCCTATATAGCCAAGAAAGAACATTGTTTAATGAGAAAAAAATAACTTGAACAATAATAAAAATAGAACTAACATACCATCAAAGCAATGTAGGCAACTTTATGTTCTTGTTGTCTCCACAACAACATTTTGTTAACCTTCTTTCTTCAGTCTTGACTAACACTCTTGCAAAAATTGTAGTATATGATTATGATGACCGTAAGTGTGGTTATTGAACTTTTCCTTTCAAAATATATAGACTAAAAGTCTGCATGCTTAATAAAAGCTTGTCGGATAACGTGCAATGTGGATCTAAATCTTGTGCGTTAATCTTCACATATTCAATTCGAATCCTCCGATTAAAGTTGATGTACTTTGTGACAAGGACTAACACTTGCATGCGTTATTGATGGTGGTTAAACCTCGTGCAGTGTGGACTATCTTTGATGGTTGTCCATGAGAGCAAGGTGCATTGATTGAGAGAGTGAATGAGTCAAAGCATGATAATAATCATCAACTTTGGGAAGATATGGTATGAAACAATACCATTATTTATAGTGTCATAATGGGTAGTGTATGTTTTTTTAGTTAACAGTTGTGGTTGAAAGCACAAAAATTGAATGCTCAAGATTCAGATCCACTACATAAGGCATACAACTCAGCCATAATGACACGACCATGCTTTAATAAAACCATGACATACCTCGTGCAGTGTGGATTTAAATCATGTGCATTCATCTCCACATATTTAATTTCAACCCTCAGATTAAAGTTGGAGCACTTTGTCACATGGACTAAAGCCTTCACGCGTCATTCATGGTGGTCAAACCTCGTGCACTGTGGATCTAAATCATGTGTGTTCATCTTCACAAATTCATTCTTAGCCATTATATTTCGTATGTGGAATTATCATTGTTGTTGGCCCAAGTGAACAATTGCCCTATAAATAGAGCAACTTATAGGTTGTTCGACCAATCAACTCAATGACAAGGTACTGCAACCAACAATGACATCTTCAGCTTTCACACTGTTGATGTACTTCAACGACACCATCTTAACAGAAGAAAATTACTCTGAAACATACATTAGTTCTCAAACGGCTTGGGTGACCATAACAAACACAATGAATATGGTCGAAGTGAAGCAAACTATTCTCAACCACTTCAATATGTCAACAGTAAATGAATATGAAGTCGACTTACAATACAGGTTACCAATTTTTATATCTGCCACCACTACACATTATAGATCATGTAAGATAGTTGTAGATGATGACATCGATACATTATTTTTAATGGCAACAGAACAAACTACAAAAGTTCATGTTGATATCATGACATTTATTGCAAAAATGCACCAAAGCGCAACCCCATCTGAAGTTTATTATGATTTAGCTAATAACTTCAACCAATCACTAAACTTAGATTGATGATCATGTACCTTGATTTCTGAAAATTCCATGAACCTTATGTTATCACTCTTCTTGTCATGTGTAACGAGTATTTTAATCCATCCAATATTATCATTTATGTTAATTCGATTAATCTTATTTATGTTTATCATTGTATAAAAAAATCGTACTAACATGATGACGTAAAGTTATGTGTAAGTCAAATAATCACACAAGGAAATATCCAAGTCACATGATGACATAAGGTGTGGTGTGGGTCACATGATCACATTGGTTAATGTGCAGGTCACATGATCACCTAACTTTTGGCTATAAAAGAGGGACCTTACCACAAATTTCAAACCATAGTTATTCAAAACTTTTCTTTGCTACCACTCATCAGAATCTTATTCCTCCACAAATGGCACCAAAGATGTTTGCATGCATCTATGATAATGGTGAGATGGTTCCTAACCCAGAAAATGGTGTTTTGTTTAAGTCTGACACTTGTATCATGGTTCAGCTTCATAGAGGTTTCACATTTTCACAATTAATAGAGATAGTATTGTAACGGGCGAAGAGAGATCCAACCAATCCACCTCTAGTCCTCCATTTCAGATTTTCAATGCAAATTTGTGGCAGGCATGTGACTTACACAACAACAAAGATTGAAGATGACGATGACTTGGATGGAGCCATGAACATCACAGAGGCCAACCCAACTTTGAGATCCTTGAAAATTTGCACGACTTACAACACATGTATTTCATCTTCCCAACCCAATTATTTTAATCATTCTCATGAACATAAACAACCCTTACAAACCCAACCCACACATCAGTCATTTGACCGTAACGCTACATATATAGGGGAATGGGAAAATGACATACAATCATACACCCAACTCTTGACCGGTCCATCGACCTCACAACTTCTCCCATCTCCTACATATGTCGACACACAATAGTTCTTCTCTCCTCCTCTACAAGAAAATGAAACAGTAGGCATACATTTGTCATCATTAGACCCATTTAGTGATGATGAGGATGACATCCTTAGCCAACATGCAGATGATGAAGAAGAAAACATATATATCCCTCCTATACAACAACAACCTCATTTATCTCTTTAATACAACCCGCCTCGACACTTCTAGTCCTATAAAGAATTTTCCCAACATGTAGACCAACAATATACTCATGCATACGACCACTTTAATATTCAATATGACACATTCGAGCATGAACCTAATACATTAACCCAGGAATGAGGTTCCAAACAAAGGAACAAGTCATAGATGCTTTAAAAACATTTCATATCACAAATCATTGCACATACAAAATGACACACTCCAACATAACAAGGCTGAGGGTGCAATGTGTCCACCATCAATTTCTGTGGAAGTGTCAAACCCTAGTTAGAACAAGAGATCAAGTATGGGAAATAAGAAAAATCGAAGGGTCTCACACCTGTGCCACACAACTTATTACACAAGATTATAACAAGTTAGGGTCACGTATCATTTTCCAACACATTCGTGAGATGGTCGAATCTAACCCATCAACACCAATTGCAACAATCATTGCTTCCATCAAGACCTCACTGGGCTACACAACAACATATAGAAAGGCTTGGTTGGCCAAACAACAAGCAATTGAACATGTGTACGGAAATTGAGAAGAATCATTCAACAAATTGCCACGGGTACTACAAGCAATGCAAACATTTCTTCCTGGTTTTGTATACCAACTCAAAACTCAGGTCATAACTGATGGCGAGGAGGTCCTGCAAAACAAAAAATATTTCAAAAGAGTATTTTGGACCTTCAAACCATGTGTTGGTGGATTTTCTTATTGCAAACTGTTAGTGCAAGTGGACAGAACCTTTCTCTACGGGAGATATATGGACACTCTTCTAGTGGTTGTAGCACAAGATGAGAGGAACAACATACTCCCTATTGGTTTTGCTATTGTTGAAGGTGAAATGACAGAAACTTGTTTATTTTTTCTTTAAAAACCTTTGGAGGCACAATACACCTAAAGAAAACCTATGCTTAATTTTGGACCGCTATAACTCCATCAGTGCAACGTTCAATAGATCGAGAAGTGGATGGACTCAAGGAAATTGTGTGTATGTGTTTTGCATTCGATACATTGCACAAAATTTCACTCGAATATTCAAAAATACAACTCTGAAGAAGGACCTTGTGAACATGGGTAAGTACTTAAAATTCCAAAATTTTATTCAATTATGTGTGATCTTTCATTATTCTTCATTATATTTAATAAATATTACTTTATAATTATATTTACAGCATACGCAATAACTGAGCCAAGATGTAACTATTACTACAATATCATAAGGGAAGAGAACCCGGAAGCAGCAATTTGGATTAACCAAATTCCAAGACATCAATGGGCACTTGCGTATGATGAAGACAGAAGATGGAGTCACCTCACAACTAATCTGACCGAAACTATCAACTCAGTCTTGAAGAAAACAAGAAATTTACCAATCTCCTCCATAGTATTGGCCACATGTACAAGATGCAACACCTTCTTCACAGAAAGAGGGAAACACATAACTACAGTGATAAGTGCTGGTCATGTATATTCTGAAAATGCCACCAAGGTCCTACAAGATGGTGATTCAAAATCAAATACCCACAAGGTGGTTGAATTTGATAGAAATACGACAAGATTCAGGGTGGAGGAAATGGTCAACCCAAGAGAAATACGTCATCTAGGTACATTTGTTGTTAGGTTGGATGAACGATGGTGTGATTGTGGGAAGTTTCAAAAAATTCATATACCGTGTTCTCATGTGTTAGCAGCTTACAAACATGCCCATCATGACTTCAACCTGTACATCAGTTCCTACTATAGGTTGGATGTCGTCATGAAAATGTATGACCATACGTTTGGGGAGCTAAGACATGAACAATATTGACCACCATATGAAGGTCCACAAGTTTCGCCAAATCCAACCACGAGAAGGAATTCAAAAGGTCGGCCTAAATAAATTAGAATCAGGACTAAGATGGACATAAGGGAAAGAGGACACCTACGAAAGTGCTCATACTGTAAAGCACCAGGACACACAAGAAATCATTGTCTTCACAACCCTGACATTGGAGGATCCATATCACATCATTAATTGTATTAAACTTTTGTACTATCTTTCATCCATTCAATAAAAGTTCTATTATGTTACATTTTAATTTTTTTCTTTTACATTTTAAATATATATTTTATTTAGTCTAAACATATTTTTACTATAAATTATTCTTTAACCATATAATAGTAATTTAACAAAACTAAAATCTATAATAGGAGTGTGACTTTTTGGAACTTATGAGTGGGGTTGTGAGTGTCATAAAAATGAGATAATAATGTTTTCTTGTAGTATTCCAAACAATAAAGACAATTGACTGAATTTTTTAAGACATTAATATGAATTTAACAAATTATAAAAATCTTAACAGTAACACAACTTTATTTTTTAAAATGTTACAATACATAAGTATAGTGAGACTAACAATATTACACAAAATCAAAAAGACTAACATCAACATAAAAAAGACTAATATATATCATAAATCGTGTTTAAACTTAGTACAATTAAACTTAATAACACTATTAAAAAATGCACTTTAACGTTTTGTACTTCTTAATTAATTTATTTCTCCATCTCCTATTATTTAATATTTCTAATAAATTTAATAATACATTTTAAAAAATACTATTTTACAACATTCAACAATAAATATAAATATATTGTTAATCTAATAAACATATAACTCTTTTTAAAACTATAATTTCAAACTCGTACAAATTTTAAATAAAAAATTATAGTTTTACATATATTTTTTATTCACAAATTTTTTATTTAATGTACCAAGGATTTCAAAAATATTAGTACATTATTTTTTTTATCTATAACTTATTTTCATTTCTAAAATATAATATATATGTATCTTCCAAAATATTACAAAACAAAAAAAAAACATTTTAAAAATATAATTTTACATGAAAATATTATTTCATCTTATATACATATAATTTTTAAGATTTTTATTATCCTCCTAATTTATTATTAATTTATAAAAAAATATTACAATATCAAATAAATCAAAGAATTAAAAAAAATTAACCATACAAATAAAATATAAATATACTATTTAATAATATATTTTAAAAGTATTATTTTACTACTTTCAATAATAAATTTAAATATATTATTAATCTAATAAATATATAAATCTTTTTAAAATTATAATTTAAAATTATAAATTTTAAATAAAATATTATAATATTATATATATATATATTTTTTAGTTAGTTTTTTTCTTAATAAAATAAACAAAAATAAAAAAAAGAAAAAATAATTTTATAATTCGATTGTCTTGAAAACCAAATTCTAAATGATTTAAAAAAAAATAGTACAATCACATTCAAATTTTATGTATTAGAAAATTGAATTTTCAACTTAAAAAGTGTATATTATATAGGTAAATAAAACCTATAATATACTATTTAAATAATGTACAAAACATTTCAGATATTGAATATTGGCTTGTATTTTAGTGCTCTACCTCGTTGCTCTTAGCTCCTAACCTCTGAGCTAAACACTTAATCTCATTTACCTTAATAATTATGTATAT